GTGTGGAGGGAGGGGAAAGGAGATGGCAAAACCAGAAAATGTTCTCAAACTCATTTTAAGAAGGTTTAAGGCAACCCTTTCAAACCAAATAGTATCTCCTCTTTAGACAAGCCTTTGAAAGGGAAAAAAATGGATTTTTAACATACAGTGTGTTTTGGCAAAGTGCTGGTGGTAGTCATGTCATCTTTATACTCTATCTTCACCCTCAAACTGGTGGGAAATCAGATTTTAAGCAGGAGTTCCCAAAGGTGCATAGGGGATTTAGGTACCAAAATAAAGGGTATTTGGGGGGCCTAACTCTGTTGGCTCCTTTGAAAATCCCAGATCTATTTTTTTTTCACAATAACAATCAGCTGCAGAATTTTTTTTGTAATTTAAATTCCCAGTCGTTTTTTGCATAGGACTTTAACTATGGTTCCCTAATTTGTTACCAAACCATGCAAAAGGGTGAAAGGCACATACACAGTCAATACACTATGAAGAGGTATAATGCATATAGGAGAGTATTATGAGTATAATACCTAGTTGTGGGAGTTGAGAAATATATATACACAAAATATTGCAACACTCAAATGCTACGTTACAGATACAGTTCTGATACAATAGAAAAGAATATTACTAGGTTGCTGTTACAGTGTGAGCTGTACCTTTGTCTCAGGAAGGGTAAAAGCTGGATTTTGAAAGCACAAAAGTGAATTAGATACAAGTTGTTTGCAATGAGAATTGGATGTTTAAAATAGTTTGTATTTATGGTCAGCTTTGCTCCCCCGCTCGCTGTTAGGCAAGAAGGAGTTGGAACAGCAAAGATGTTTGGGGTTTCTCATACAGGTGGACCCTGTACAAGTTACATGCTAGTAGGGTGGGTTTTCCCCCTCTCCCCACAAGGAATAGGATCTCCCACACCCTGGAGATAAAGGGTAAAAGCCTGGCTCCATTGAAGTCAAAGGAAGTTTTGCTATTGACTTCAGTGGTGCCAGGCTTTCACCCAGAGTCTGAATCTCCATGTAGGAAGGCTGAGCAGTGGCAATGGGGGTGGCCGTAACGATGGGGGCTGGTGTAGACTCCCTCTGACCGAAGAGCCGCTAGTTGCAGGCAGCTAGTGTGGAGAAGAGCACGTGCTGAGCTAGAACAATGAGCCTGACATATCTCAGAGCCTAATCAGGCAGACCTATTATTAGGGAAGTTGGTGTTGCCCAAGTGGGTTTAGACCGGTACGGGCTGAATGTTTCATCAGGTGCTAACCCACATCCTCTACCTCCTTGTAAACAAAGGGGGTAGGGAGGTGTAAAGAACTTGAAGCTGCAGGTGTTTATTGAGCAAAGAAGGAATGTCAGTATCAGCTTGGATACTAGATGGAGCCGTTCATTTTTTTTTATAACCATTTTTTTGAGGAAAATGTGGGATTTGTTTTTTAAATTAAATTTCATGAGCTAACTTTTTAGAAAGAGCCTTTTCGTGCCTGCATCAAGGGCATAAAGCCGGAGGCTACAGTGAGGCCCTTTAAAAATCTGACCCTGTGTTTCTGATTGGCGAGAGTGCTGTCACCCTTTCACTTCTGCACTCCAAGAGCTGCCTGCTGGTGCATGCTCCAGGTGCCAGACTGCCTTTTTGGGGGTGAGCAGAAGGGGGAGGCAGCATCTCCTCTGTTATGAGGATTCACAAAACTCTCACACGTCAAAACAAAAGTGATTTACTAACCATGCCAGAGCACTTCCTCCTCTCCCCCTCCCCATTTTTATTTATAAATAGACTTTCTTCTAATCTCCCTAATCCCCCTCCCATTGACAAAACTCCCAGGCAGTTCTGTGGAATGAGAGCTGGGCCAAGGAGGTGTTCACAGAATGGCTGTATCTCTGACGGCTCACAGGAACAGCTGCAGGAGAAACGGACGGAGGTGAACATACCAAACTGCATAATAGTCAAAGGTTCTTCTAGAATGGCATAGAGGAGGCACCTGAAACTAAAGGAGAAAAGACGATGGTTGGCCTGACTTTGATCCTACATGGGAGTCAAATTGGCCAGAGAGAGGTCAGTGGAGTTAAAAATGGTGGGCGAGGCGAAGGAAGCCCAGAGAGTCTACAGAAGAGGTTCCAAAGGTGCCCTAGGGATACAGAAGAAATTCCACATCCTTGACCTCAAGCAGTTTTACTTCTCCTCCTCTTTTCCAATTCAATCTGTTTAAAGAGAAAGTAACCAACTGATGACAGGGTGAGGTGTGCCATCAGTGCAGACAATGGCATCATACTATTCTTTGTACTGTTAGATATCCATGCCATGAAAGAATGGTCACATTCCTGGAGAAGTTCAGAGCTTGGGGGAGTAGATGCATCATCCAGACATATACTTGTCTCCCATCTTATTTTAAAGCATGCGTGCTCAACCTGGGGCTCTCCAACAGGTTGCGCACGTGTGTGTGTGTGTGTGTGTGTGTGTGTGAGACAACTAGCTAGATGGGTGAGGGGTCCCAAAGGTTTTTTCTGTTGTAATATAGCGTTACATTATGGAAATGGTGGAGAACCACTATCAAGGAGAGTGACCGCTTTCTTAGCTACAGTTTAGTGACCATTGCTGAACCTTCACTTTTCACTGCAGTCATATTTGTCTATTTATTAAATAACAAATATCTGCCATACTCATTTGTTAAAAAAACCATCTCTTCCATAACTGGAAACCACCAATTTCAGCTCCAATCTATGCAAGGGAGTTGGGCTGGGAATTATCCTAGCCCGGTGCTCTTGCAAACATGGGCTTTTTACATCGCAGGAGCGTTTGGTACTGTGCATGGCCTTCATGAAACACACTAATGGATTTCCTCCCCTCTGGGGCTTGGGGGGAGAAAAGGAAACTGCTCCACACACAGCTACATACGGTTTTAAAATATACAAAGAGAAATAACAGGTTCCTAAAGAGTGGAGCTTTGGGATGAGCTACATCCCTAAATTTGTACTTTGCAATATTAAAAGGAAAGGGGCCCTGCTGGACCGAATTGACTTTCCCCAAGGCTGGGCTTTCCCAGCAGAGCGGGTGCCTCTCGGAAGTGGTACTTGTAGGTGCTGGTTTCGAGGGGCTGGATTTCAAGGGCAGCTCTACTGGCAGGTGTGCTTTCCATGGCACCCAGCTTGTCGCCCAGCAGCGCTCCTCATCACCCTTTAAATGCAAATGAAACCCGGCCAAAACGCAGTAGGCAGAGTCTAGCATCATGGACTGCTTGGGTGTTTGTGATCAAGGACTAAGTGGGCTGCTGTGACCCGCTTTTGAATTCAGCCCCTGAACCGGGATCACTTATCTAGGACTGCTTCGAGGGGGTGTTCTATGGAGAATGCTAGAATACGTGGCTTCAGACTTGGCCCTACATAAATGTTTTAAAACAAAAGGGGGGGCATTCCCCCCAGCTTTGTGCTCAAGGGCTGCCCGTGCCCCCATTGAAGCCAACCTCTTGTTGACTTCAAAAAAGCAGGGCCAGTGGTGTTTATGGGGCGAAGCGGTTCCCTCACCCCCTGCAACTAAGAAGGGCAGAATTTACCGCTGCATGGCAGAGGATGTGGGTCCTGATTCTGCACCAGGCCGATTGTGGGAGAATCCACAGGCAGGCAGGGTCAGCCAGGCAGAGGCTGCATTTCCCCACTGGCTCTGGCCCTGGCTCCCCTGGAGAGGAGCTCTGCAGAAGAGAGAATCTGGCCTGGGGCCATGTTGCCCTTTCCATGCAAGTTCCACCCAGGTGGAGGGGGAATGATAGTCATCCCCCTGGCTCCTCCCCCCAGTCTGCCCCTCCCCTCGCATAGAGCCTGACTGGCTGTGAGCACTCTCCTGGGTCATGTGGGTGGGTGGGGGGATAGTACCTCGCAGGGATCTGGCTCCTAGGCGCTAAAGATGGGCAAGACTTATTAGAAGATCTACTCCATTGCACTGCCCATGCTGGCCGTGTCCTCAGCATTAGCCTGCTGAGAAAGCAAGAGCCAAACCCACCTGGCTTTCTAAACAGACGCGCCCCCAGGACTTTGTTTTCCACCCGGTGCCTTTTTTTTTTTTTTTTTTTAAAAAAAAAATCAGAAATGACATTATTCCTGAGAGCGCGAACAACCGTCGCAGTGCCCCCTCCCCTGCCCCCTTCTTACTCTCAACGCACTTTTTCCAAACCATTTTGCACCAGCCTGGCCCTATCCTGCTCCCATTGACTCCGCTGGGAGCAAGATCTAGCTCAAGTTTGTGATTCGTGTGGAGCACAGATCCGTTGTTAGCTCTGCCTCCAAGATCTTGGCATTGCCCCCAAGCCCTTGGGGGCTTTGATGCCCTCTCAAAATATATTGCTTAAAAATAGCTAGCTAGATATTTCCAATAACGCTGGCCTAGAGGAGGAATAAATTGTAATTCAACAATTTCCATGTGATTCCTGGGACCCACATGAGTGAGGTGGGTGTGCCCCTGGGTGGCCCCATAGCTAGTAAGTGGACACTGCTAACTTTAAATCTGTTACACAGTTACACTGGTGCCAGTCGAATCCTTTTCCTCTTCCAAAAGGCAGCCGATACTAGCAATTCATGCTAAGAAAATAAAAAGACATCTCACTAGGTTTCACAGATTCCTTTAGGACGTGCAGATTAGTATCCACAGCCTCCCAGGAAATAAAAGAACGCATCAGAATCAAATGTTCTAAAATATGCACTTTTAAAGATCCCAATGCACGTGTTTGTCCCTGAGTCCACGCTGTAATTTCCCCTACACAAATAAAAAAGAAATTGAAAACTCCGCATAGCCATTACAGTAGGAGATCAGAACAACACACTCCCAGCCACAGGTTGGTTGGTTTGTTTAACCTTTCAGTTGGGAGCATCACACAACTAACCACAAACTGGAAATACTGAATGCAAAACCAAAACCAACACCGTACAGCCACTCTGCGTTTTTAAAATATTTACACACGTGCACCCAAAGGTTCTGTGTTTTAAGCACCTTTTGTTTGCTTTAAGATAAAAGGAGAGCCATCCAACCTCAGCGTTGATCGTTAAAGAACTAGGACAGGAAATTTGGTAGCAGACCAGTACTTCTAGTGATCGCCTCCATGCACAGTGTGAACACACCTCTGTCACAGCATTAGCTGTTTGGTCACACTTGATAGCAGGTGCATTTCTAATCAGCTTATAAAGGGTTAATAAATGATTACGGTGAGGACAGTCTGTGTTTTAGATGCTTGTAAGCCATGGTAATAGTAACCTAGTGACCTGTCTAACAATGATTTGACCTTTCAGTAAAACATTATTAATCATTGATTAACCCTTTCTAAACTCTTGATATAAAGTGGGATGGTAGTTTTGCTTGGTTTCCCCTGCTGACTAGGGATAACATGATGCAGTTGTGCAGAACGATGACATCCAAGCAAAGTTCCTTGCATTCTCCTTCTAAAAAAAAATAAAACTTTAAATATTAGAAATGAACCACCACTGAAACGGGCAGTTGGGCTATTGGACTCAGTGCCTCTGTTTTAACAGCACTTAAGGGCCCTGGCCGGCACTACTGAGGGCGACTAGAGCTTTGCCATTGACTTCAATTGCTGCTGGATCAAGTCCTAATTGAGTAGTTTTTGCTTCTCACCGTCCTGGACAATTAGCGAGGCTGGGAGGCTTTTAAAGAGGGACTTCTCTTACTGGGAGAAATGCTTCTGAGCAGCTTAGCAGACACAGGCATTGTAAGGTGTACAAGGTGAGTAGCATTCCCCAAAGCAATTTGTGTTTCTAGGAAGCTTTGCTCGCTCTCTCTCTCTCTCTCTCGCAGCCATTCGGCACCTGTTTGATCTGCAAGACACAATGGTCAGCTCCAAATATCACAAGTGTTATGGGGGCTTTGGGCTCTGGGCACGGGTGACATCATCATGTTAAATTTGTGACAACACTGTCATTTGCAGGGTGCCTGAGGCATGTCGTAAGTGGAGGTGTAGAACTGTGTAACAGTAACAGGTGGGAGCTGGCCGGGAGGCAGAAAATTACTGACCTCATACAGCTCTTTATTGGTGTCTGCTCCAGCAAGGAAATCTCCCTCTAAAGCCACCTTATGTGCATGAAACAGCGTAATGCTGCAGAACACATTGACCAAACAGCCTATGGAAAGGAGAACTGAACCGGGGATGCAGGGGGGAGGAGACTTGATGAGCATCCAAAATTTAACCCTGTTCCTATGCTGCTGCTTAAAAAATTCTGAACTCTGACATGGACATTGACGAGTTTAGGAAATAGCTCCTCCTCACCTCTGCAGGAACTTGAGTCGGCGTTCATGTAAAATGCACCAGTCCCAACTTGCATCAGGGCTCACTTGAGAAAAAGGCATTTAATAGAAAACCAAGGATGTGAACGGCTGTAAATGTCCCATCAAGTCAAGACACTGCCAGTCTCCAGTAAGGAGTCGGCTGCAAATGAAATAATAGACGTGTTGCCATCTTTAACACGCTCCTGGTGGGACCTTCAGCAGTGAGCAGATGAAGTTCTATCACACCACTGCCTGCTCCAACACGTGGAGACAATGTGGAGCTGGTATCAAACAACAGACAGGGGTGGGGCTCATCCAGACCATGGGAAATAACACTGGCTTTTCAAGTTCTCTCTCTTTCTCTTAACTGCTGTTAAACCGTCTTGCCAAGAGATCTGTGCACATGAGCTCGGCTGCTTCTCCAGATGCTGACAAGGGTGCAAAAGCAAAGAGGAACAAACAGCTGATCCTAGCAATATGGGAATTTTGCCCTTGACTTCAATGAAAGGAGGGATCAGGTTCTAAAAATCAGGTTCCTATTAGAGATGGGCCCAAGCTACAGAGCTCAGAGCCAGCTGGAACGTCAACAAGGTTTGTGTGTGCTGGGGGTGGGGGAGGAGTTCAGGTCCAGCATATTGGTTGGGAGTTATCTCTAGTTACTAGAGTCACCAATGATTCAATCAGAAATAGCTGCCTGAAGCATCCTTTCCATTAGTACAGGATGATGTTACTGTTTTTTAATCTTTGCCAGGCACTGCTCTTAATTCTCTAGGCGGGTTAGAATTTATTTCCATGCTGTGTGAGAACTTTCTGTTCAGTAGTGTCATGAGGGCAGCAGGGCTTTGAGTTTGGAGACACTAATAATGGTCTTGTGCAGAACTTTACAAAAGCCAAACTGGGAGAGTTATAGAGGCAGTAGGGCTGTTTCAAACAATGGTTGATTACACTGAAGAACAACAAATATAAAATATATTTAAAATAATCCCATTTGCCTCTGTATTTTTAGAGGCTCCCATGGCACCTGCATTTTAGCTAGATCCTGCAGGCAAAATTATATTAGCCATTCTCCGGGCTAACCAGATCTGTTAGCCTCCATTCCTGGAGGCTGCTAATTGTAAGTTTATTTCCTCTCAAAAGTCTCAAGAGCTCAATTATTAGACATTTTAAAAGCGGCGCTCACATGGTGGAGGCCCACTGTTTACAATTATTTTTAAAAACACAATTTCACAAAACCTACTATGAAGGTAAAGGTCTGAATAATGGTTTATAGAAGAAATTCCAGTGAAAGTGGTTTATTTTTTGTAGCTCAACATGGCCTTGCATGGTGGAAACTCAAACTCAACAGCATTGTGCAAATGGGAACGCGAGCCTGCCTGTGGACAGTCCAGTTTCGTTCCCCCGGGGAGTGAAGTGCAAGCAGTAAATAAAGAGCATTAATGGAGGAAAGTGATTTTCAGACAGCTTTGCGGTTTTACTAATCGCGTATTATTAACGTATGATTTTTTTTTATCTTGACAGTGGCCTTTTAAGGATAAACATGTTGGGCCAAACCCAGCTCTGGCGTAGCAGCATTAAAACCACCAGGGATGAATATGGCTATTCATGACACAGGGCACAATCTTTAGTGCAGTTAACCGTGGGTTATCTATTAGCCCATTCTGACTACAGAGAAGAAATTCCTCAACTGGGCTGAACGCCTGGAACTTTATTTCCCATTGGAAACTCCCTATAGTCCTGTAGGGACTATCAGACTAGCGAGCGTTAGGTCTGCCTGTAACAGTGGAATAGGGGAGCTGCCATATATACCTCTTCTTGGGGGACTTGTATCTTTTTCCATCCACGTAGGCACAAGTTCTGCGCTATGCAGTTCTTGGCCTTGGGCTTGTACCCTCTCAACTGCTCCAGTTTCCATCCTTGTTTCTTGTCTTGCCCTCTCTCCTCCTGCCTTTCTTTTGTCCCCAATCTCTCTCGCTTCCTCTCTTGTTTCACATCCTTTCGCTACCAGCTTCGACATACTTTACCACCTCTGTGACTATTGCACAAGCCCCTTTCTGCGCTGTCCTCCCAAACCCTAGATGGGGCAGCAAACCACAGGCTGTTATACCAGCGTGAAGGAGAATTGTCACTCCTGGGGGTTTGAGTGATGGGTTATGTCCAACCACTAGCTTTAGGATCATGCTCAAGAAGTATCATCCGCTGAGGCTAGACCTGTCCGCTGGGAGTGGCTCCTCTAACAGCTCCTTGGAGGTAGTGGGATTTACACAATGCTGCTTTGCGGGTTTGTTTTCCGAGGGCCCAGATTTTGACTGAAAATAGAAAACACCAAGACCTGTTTGGACATGTACAGATCACTGGCTTCCCCGGGGCACCAAAACCAGCGGAGACCAGGGAGAGCCTTTTGCCAGAAATCCAGTGATTTGGACAGACCGAGGAAATGACAACCCAGTCTAGGGGGTAGGCCTCCTCGTTCATTGCTCAACCATTGGCTCTGAAGATCTAATATGGTGTTTACAACCAATCAGATAATCCACCCCCACAGACTTCTGCCCAGCCTGTTGCCTGGAATGAGAATTCTTTATTCGAATGGATGAGGGCTTTTTAAGGGCTTCGTCGTTGTAAAATGCAAGTAAGTCATTGCGGGGTTTGTTTCTTGTTGTTTTTTGCCTAAGCTGGTGAATGTTCCTGACCATTTCACGAGGCAGATTTGTTCAGCCTTTCTAAAGACCACCTGATCTCTACTCTGTGTTCCACATGCAATAATCTGCTTAGAGCTTTGACACTTGTCCCTTAAGCAAAGCCGTTTGGAGTGGGTGGGCCAAACATATTGTAAGACACCCAACTGTAACCTGAAAGCACCGGAATAATAAAATGGACTTTGCACTCTTTTTAAAAGGCTGTGGGGGATTAAGGGCTACAGTAATACTGCACAGGCTTGATTTCCAGAAGCACTCAGTAGCTGCAGCTCCCACGGATTTCAGTTGGAGTTGTCGGTGCTCAACACTTCTGAAAATCAGGCCTTAAATACTTATTAGGAGATGCTCAAGCAGGGTTCCCTTTACTCCAGCATGGCACCTCTGAACAGACAGCTAGATAATAAAAGCATGCAAGTAAGGATCATCAGTGACACCACAATCCCAGCTCCCAAGTTAATTCAGAGAGGATCTAATATACAATCCAGTTTTTAAAGGGGGATGGGGGGAATGGTCTTTATTCCACATAAATTGTTACATTTTCCTGGAATTTGGGCCAATTTTGTTGTTATTTTGTTCCAGTTTGCATTTGAACCTGGTATCTCCATTTGTGACATCACAATCTGTTCCACGGAGAAGAGTGTGATATCATAAAGAAAGGCACTGATGTCACAGGCTCCCAATACAACGGCAAGGGACAAAGGAAATGACGGGGCGTCTTCACGCTCCTATAAATTCAGCGTAACATTGGTGTTAAGCTTAGTGAAAAGTAGAGCATTCACTGGGAACACCAAACTCAAATTCAAATACTGGTAACCGTTGTAAGAGCAGCTGGAAGAACTTACTCAAGTATTGGGGAGGGAGTCGGGGAGCTGGGGAAATACCTCCCATCAGGACTCATTTTCCCGAGGGTAACTGGTTGGACACAAGTTTTTCCAGACACTTTAGCACTGATTCTTTTAAATCATTTCTTGACATTTAAAAGCTGTCCCCCAGCCAGCGTCATTAGGTTACGTGGGGGTGATGTGCCGGCTTTCTCTCCTGCTCAGCGCCAGAGCAAAAGCTGCAGTGGTGGGGAGGGGGGTGCAAGGTATCGAAGTGGAGAAGGAAGAAAATCATAGGTAAGTAAATGTATACGCTAGTGTAAAAAGGGGAGTGAAAGCGAAGGAGAGCCCAGCAAGGATCTGCTGTGGAGCATCACCAGTTCAGAAGAAATTGAAAAGCGTCTCTCATGGGGATAGGTTTATTCCAGAGAAAGGATGAAGACACCTCTGCTGGAGAAAGCATCGCAAGATGGGACGTGAAGCTTGAGAGTTAAAAGGGTAATGCCCCGCGGTGCAGACTTCCTGAAGTAGTTTAGTAGTTGTACTGGCGCTGGCATGGTTGGTAGACAAAGCTGCCCTGGTGTTTGGCCCGCCGGGGGTGGCGCTCTCTGGCGCGGTTCTGCCGCTGCATGACCTTCTGACTGAGCTTGTGCTTCTCCACCAGCTGCTTTGCCCGCTGGATCCGACGGACCTGGCTGACCTTCTCCAAGATGGCAGCTTTTGCCGTGAGAGAGGTGGGGTGGTGCGGGGTGCGGCGCTCCAGCCGGGGTTCAGGCACGTCCCTAGAGAGAGAGAGACACACACATTCGTTAATGGTTAAGCTCAGGATGACCTCAGACAGGTGAGACACCACTTTGCATTTCCCCAGGGCACGAAGGGGTCGACTGCCAACTGGAGTCACACATGAGACTCCTGACAGCTCCCTTCTGAGTCAAATGTGCAAATGCCCACACAACAAAAGAAGAGACGAGCCCCACGTCATGCTCAGCACAACAAAGAATTGTTCTGTTGGAGGTTGCATGCGGTACTATGGTGATAGCACCATGGAAATAGAGCTATTTTCCCAAGATCGGTATGGCAGGTTAATTCTTTAAAATGCTCGTATTACCCAGGCTGACATCCCCTTAACAACCACTTAGCTGGCTTTACGCGCGAGTGTCTTACAGACAAACACACATACAGGGACAAATTTAGAAGAGATTCTAAGGTGGTTTCTTCTAATCTCTCAGCATGCAAATTACTCCAGTTTAGGCTCCCTTTGATTTAGTAATTGGTATTTAATTGAGACCCTTCCCCTACTCATCACCTCTGAATTTGGCCTGCTGTCTCCTGTAAGCAACGCTGTTCAAAGCCTCTTACAAGGCCAATGGAATTATGAGTGAACTGCTCCATAGGCCAATCTGCAATAAGCAGAGTTGTTAAAGGGAACAGGACTTCCCCAGATCAAACGATTGGCGTGGTTGATCCAGGTTCCATTAGCACAGATGACTCATGGGGAGAAGAGAGCTTCAAAGCCAGCTGCTCGGTCAGCAGAAGTTCTCCTCCAACAATGAGGGAAATCAAGGGCAAATTGAGCTCATTTCCTCCCTACTTTTAACTATTATTTGTAGCCATTTTGCTTTGTATTTCATCCTCTGCCTTCAAACTTTCACTGACTCCAGCCGGATTGGAATTTGGCCCGACGAAAGAGGAGTTTGCAAAGGGCAAATGAGATCCCAGCCGATGATGCTCAGTGTCGTCCTCTGAGACTTGCCCGGGGAATTCACTCTTGAACTGGGCCATGCCCCTCTGTGGTGCTGTATAAACAATAACGATGTATTTGGCCCACACTCCCATGGAGTGTTAATGCCAAAAGCCATCGAGCTCTCTGGCTGGCTCATGGCTGGGCCTTAGCCCAGTTTGCCTTTGGTGTGTATGTGCTGTTGTGATACTCTGGTAACACGTCCCAAAACACTGAGCAGCCTGCGTGGCTTGTAATTTGCCATGCGGCTGCACTTCCGGGCATTGGTTGTGAACTCTGCGGCTGCCGATGGGAGAACGTGTGGGACTAGAAGTAAGGATTGCTGCTGTCTCCCAGGAGGGTCCCCTTTCCTGGAAAAACAGTGGGCTTTGGTTCTTTTTCTGCCTAGGAGTGGGGGGCGGGGACGGTTCGGTGCTCAGGAGAGCTCAATTTGCAGGAAGAACCGCGTTCCAGAGTGGAGGATTTTGCGCTCAGAACTAGAACTGCACTGCAGGACCAGGGCGGAGGAGATGTAGATGAGCTGAGATGAGGAGGAAAAGCCGACAAATATCCTTCCTAAAAGAGCCAACGTGGTAAATTCCAAGACTCCAGCGAAAGGTGAGTGGAGCCAAGTCCACTCCAAAGCCTTATTGCCACAGACTTGGTTTTTTTGGTGTCTGGTTTTCTGCTGTAACGATACCGGTGGTATGACTGAAAGAGTGTGCCCACACTGCGTTGTCTACACCATCTTACGCTACTTCCCTTCTCAAGCACTACCTTCACAAAGCTCTGTACTTTCTGGAAATAACTGCGCACCATTCTGAACGGATATCCCCGGTGCAATGTTCTGCTCCTCCGGGCCCAGCATTCTGGGCTTTTTCTTGCAGTGCATTGTGGGGTGTCTATTGGAACCTACTGGATTTCTGGGATTTGGGCTCAAATGAACAAACTCCCATGATTCCCTAGCATCCCGTAATTTGTCCCTTGTTTGAGAGCAAGCACTATTTACAAAGTGCTGCCCGGCAGTGTGGAGGAAGCACTGTGATCCTGATCGTCATTAATATGAACAAACCGCTCCACACACGTATGGGCAGCCACACAGCCAGGTAGCTTTGGATGGGTTAGGAGACAGCTGCAGTGTCACAGGAGGGCTGGCCCCTTTAAATGAAGCAGGTCCAGTCCCCCTGTGCCAGAACAGGTGCTCCACCTTTGGCCAGTTCAGAGGGTGGAGCAGCACCTGGGGCTAATAAGGATCAGGGAGGAAATCTCTGAAGGCAGCTGCAGGAGGTCCTTGGGGAAGGCAAGGGAGCAGCGGAGGGGCTTACCAGCTGACATCTCCTTGCTGGAGAACTGGAGCCAGAGGACCCAAGGGAACAGTGGAAGCATCTCCCTGCTGGCTTGCCTGAGAGGTTAATGAAATAGGGGGATAATGAATGTTCCCTGGGTGAGGACGAACTCCCAGCTGAGAAGTCAGCGGGGGGAAGGGGAGCTTCGCACTGGGAAGAGCAGAGCTGCACTCTAGCTGGAAGGGTGTCCTGGCAGAAGGACAGGAGAGGACCTATGAAGAGCCCAGGTGTTGTGGAAGATGCCGGAGCGCAGTATGTGTGGTGTCAATGGACTAGGTGCACTGGGGTGATAAATGGACTACGTTTGGGGACTTTTGCTATGGATTATTTTCACTGTTTGTAATAAACTTGCCCCAAGGGGCAGGGGATATGATTGAGGCAAGACAACCTGTCGTGGAGTCCTTCGAGGGCTGAGAGGGGAAGTGATGGTAAGCAAGGGGCTAGGGTACCCAGCTGCAAGGGGCACTTGGGGCACAGTGATGCTGTCAATATGGCTAGAGGAGGAGGATGAAACTGAACAGTTATTTCTGTACGACCCTTTCCTGGAGTGACTTCACTTTGCTGAGCTCTGCTTCTGGGCTTGGCAAACTAGCCCTGACTTCTTCTTGTGTATGGCTTCTGACTGCAGAATGAATGAGATGTTGGGTAAGTGATGTAGCCACTCTATCATGGCAGCATCATCCAGGGACATCAAACGCGTCCATCCATCATCAAGATGATAAGGAGCGCAGTCCGTAACCGGATGGCACGCTCTTTGTTCTTGAGCTCCACAGGGATGGGATGGGGAGATCAAGAAGCCCCACAGTAAAGATTCAAGTTAAACTGCCCGTGACCACAACATAACGGGTGACATGGGGGACGTATCAGGATGCTTCACGTTGGCTTCTACCATTAACTCCCCAGGAAGCAGGGAGGACAATCCTGACAACTTGGCCAGTGACCTGCTAACAATGTTACAGCATTGACTGGTGGGACAGGATAGTAATGGAGAACTGGTGATGGCAGCACTTCAGGATGTGGGAAGGCTCCTTTCCGGGAGATCTATGTGGATTTCACTCCAGAGCTGCAGCAGTGGAACACCAACAGGAGAGCTGCCCTCAGCGCAGAGAAGTGTGGGGTTACCAACATCTAGAAGCTTGCCACTCTCGATTGCTACCTGTCAGGCTCCTGTGAGTAGATCAACTATTAGGGCTGTGAATGGAGGGTTCCCAAATTGTATAGGAAGCATGGATGGGACCCATGTCCTTATTCCTGGCCACCACACCAGTCCTCCGAGTTCATCAACAGCAAGGCCAAGTTGATTACTGTGGAACATTCACCACTATGAATATGGGGTGGTCTGGATTGGTTCATAATAGCAGAGCTCCTTTGCTGCGCTGGGCATGTCCCAGGGGTGCCCCATCTCCTGCATTTGCTCTGCCAGGTTGTAGATCTTGGCATTCCATTACTGCTGTCCAGAAGGTCCTGGACATGCTCCTCTCCCCAGAAAGCGAGAAGTCCAGGCCCTCCTGATAGGTCCATGTGGAAACACAGGACATGGTTTGGTATGTGACTCTGAGTGTGTAAACTCTTCACAAGCTGAAATTGTAGAGGGGCATGCCTGGCTGCCAGTTAAACAGGGAGAGGACAGCCGGTCAAGGTGCCTCCAGAGCAATAGAGGGCAGGCAGTGAAACAGACAAGCCAATCCAGGCATGAAGCTATGCAAGGTGGGACAGCAGTGGGAGAACTGCCAGGACCAGTGTAATTAATCCAAAATAGAGAGGCACCCACATGAATCTTAGACCATATTAACTCTTTCCAGCATAGAGTTCGCTCACTTCCGAAGCCAATGAATGAAAGTGGGATAGGATCCCGGATGAAAAAAGCAAAACAAAAATCCTTTTGTGGGTGCCAAAAATTAATGTTATAAGGAAAGAACAGTCCCCTGAAGACAAGGCTGTAGAGACCACGGACCGTCCCCCCACCCTTAATATGAAAGTCTTTCTTTAGTGTTTTAGCCAGATGGTATTGCCTGGATATCTAGAGTGCTCTAGCCACTGGGCAAGGCCTGTCCCCCCAAACTGCAGCTCTAATCCCAGCTCTGCCACTGATTTGTAGTGTGACCTTGGGCTAGTCTCTTAACGCCTCCATTCCTCTGCCTCCCCAGCTGGAAAGCAGAGATGATGATAACCTGTCTGCCTTTGCCATGGGCTACAGACCCCACGTACTATTATTACTATCCGCAGCGTCCCAGGCTGGACTCACCCTTCACTGATTGGTTCGTCAGGGCTCTCCCTTTCCACCACAATGCTGTTGCTGGTGACGTAGACGGACATGCTGGGGTGTTCGATCAAGAGGTCCTCCATGGGGCTGCTCTCCAACCTGACGGGGCCGGGGCCTTCTGCAGTAAAACAGGGGGGAGGGGTGACAAACCAACTCTCGTCCATCAAGCAGGGGTCGGGCTGGGAGGGCACGGGCCTGCCGACACAGTCACTGAGTGAGTGGGACGACGAAGTGGTAGGTGGGGGGGACCCAGGACAGGACTGGGAAGTGCAAACGGAATCCCTCTCACCTACCCGCTGCTCTTCGCTTGGGGCTGAAGTGTAACTAGCTAATGAGAGACAAGAGCCACCATCCACAAGGTGGGAGCAGCCAAAAAACCCACGGTCGTTTGAAGCCATGCAGAGTGGGAGCAGGGCGGGGGGGCAGGCAGGGGGAAGAATAAAGAAGCAGAGAGACACACACACATACAATATACAGTGGGTGGGGAGGGGAGGGGAAGGGGGGAGAAAAAGGGGGCATTATTAGTAAAAATGACACCCCAACAGCATTATTGTTGTCTTTCTTTTCAATCGATAAAACCTTTACTGAAGTATAAACCACCATGCAAAATAAAAACACCACCACAGCACAGCGCGGCCACCTCAAGGGGCGATTCAGCCAAGCATCCGCGTGCCCGAGGGACCGCTAAGAATGATGAGAGCACCGACAGGGAAAAGCACGGGGGACTGGTCTTGCTTGTGCTTTGCTCTCGGATAGATATGCTCTGTCCACCCCACCTAAACCAATGCGGACTGGCAGGAGTCAGGAGGAAACGTATCCCTGCAGGGCGTCTTCCTCCTTCCTGTATCCAAGCGGAGCATTCCGAAGGGCTGCGCCCCACGGTTATGACAGCGCTAGACTCCCTTCCAATGCGCGTGCTCCCTGAGCTGGTTACTGGTGGTGGAGGTGGAGGTTAATGGCGTATTGGAACTGGATTCTAAACCTGGACAGTCTAAGCTTATGTGGCCAACACGGTAACTTAGCACTGTGTTCTAACCAGGGCCCTGGACCCCATCATAGCTGTGATGTTGATGGGGCCTTCCTAAGCCTAAATGGCAGCCGTGTCATAATTTATGGAGCTGCTCAGCCTGTCTCTAATCTGTTAGTTCCTCTCCCTGTTTCTTGTCATCAGTTTCTTGCAGCTCAGGTGGAAGAGTGTGATTCCAGGGCTCCCTCGCTCTGATATTGGCTGTGTTATAGCAAAGGAAGATGTTATTATGGCTCGGTTCAGTCAGGACTGCTCCGACCTCTGCTGAGCTCCTCAGTGTGCTTCAGGCTGGTCTAGTGAAGTGGTCTAGTGGTCACTGGTCTAGTGAAGGGGGAGCCCTGAGCAAAGATCAATTTGTGCAGTCTAGTGTTCGACCCCTCTGCGGGTTGGGGTGTGAGTGAAATCTGAGCGGAACATGTGTCTGCAGCAAGACAAAGGGAAGGAAGATATATAAAAGCACAAAGTGCTGGGTAGACTTTCCATCATTAGTTTGACACTGATGGCTTCAGTCCCATCAATGATGCATCTGCCTACAGTGAGCAACTGTGGTCCAGTGTGGGCTGGGAGAGCTGAGACCCAGATTTACTGCTTGCCCTTGTCACTGAATCACTAGGTGACCTTGGGAAAGACCATTCATCTCTCTGCCTCACTTACCCCAGCTGTAAGGCGTGGTTAGTAACCCTTAGCCTCCTTTGTAGACTGCTTGGAGAGCGACGGATGAAAAGTGCTATATAGGTGCTAAGTATTAGTTTCTTTCAGGCCAGCATGAATTTCATGGATGATCATAACAGTACTGGGAGGCAGTGTGGAGTAGTGGTTAAAGCAAAGTCAAGTCACAATCAAAATCCTGGCTGCTATCCTCTGTTTTGCCACTAACTTCCTGTGCGACCTTTGGCAAATGTCTTAAACCCTTTGTGCCTCCATTTTTCCTTCTGTACAAAGGGCGGAATAACTCTTTCCTTACAGGGAGTTTGTAAAAGGCCTGGAGATCCTCAATAGGCATCATCTTTTTTTTAAATTCTGAGAAAATAATCATTTAAAAAAATGCTGGGTCAATTGTTCATGAGACAGGACGAAAGGGGCGATGCCGTTTGGGCTGGGAGAGGGCAGCCAATGAGAGACTTCACTTCAGGGGACATATTTCCAAAGGGCTTATGCTGCTCCAGAATTAGACTTCCATACAGCAGGGAGTCATTCTCCCAGTCCCTGGAGATGGGGCTATTAATAGTTGTCGAGAGGCCCGGCTGGAGATTATTTAGCGACATAAAGACAAGTTTGGAGTGGTTTGGGTTGCTTGTTTTTCTTTACTTCTCGGAACCTCTACTGCTCGAGCCAATTGTGTAACTGGGAGAAGAGGGGAGGATCCAGGCTAAACAAGCCTCTGATCCACCAAGCACTTGGGTTCCCAGGGAGGCTTCCTTCCAGACAGGCAATAAGTGTAACTGTGACAGGAAGTGGGAGGGGAACCTAAAATTCCCAGGTGAGCTGCAGTTTTCACTGAGCACATAGATCAGAATGGCCTATGGTTTTGCGCTTGTGGTACTCAGCCATTCAGGTTGGGCAACCAGCACCATGTGCGTGATCCTGCCAGGTCATGGGCATTGAGGACTCTGCTTTTGCACAGACTTTTCATGCCTCCTTTCCCAGCCTGTGACAGGGTGGCTGGCCCTTTAAAGGGAGAGCGGGCTTAGCCCACCTGTGACACAGCTGATTCGCTGCCCCAGGTGGAGAGAATGAATTCAGTCATGTGAGAGACGGTGACGTGATTAAACCAGGATGGGAGGGTTAGACAAACAGAGGCGTGTGGACAGCCAGGGGGAGACAGCGAGAAGCTGGAGAAGAGGGAAGGTAGGGGGTGTAGCCTCCAGCAGCTCCAAGAGCAGGAAGAGACAGCCTCTGATGTTGGGGTGAAGAAGGCTCCTCTCCAGGATCAGGAACCTATGTGAATCTGCACAGCCTGGGGGAGAAGGCCTGTGACACCCCTCAGCGGGGAATGATGGTGGAGAACTACAGACAACAGGCCCTCAGGTAGGGGGAACTGGGTCCAGCTAGAGTCTGGGTGGAAAAGAGTTTATTTGGGCTCAGCAAAGTAGAAGCCGAGCAGAGGAATTTTGTCTTAAATCTTTTGGACTGTGTGGAATTCTTAAGGGGCCCTGAGCAGAAGGGGAAACTGAGGCAGGATGCAGCAGAGCCACTCCGGGCCACGAGGAGTGCTTAGGAGGCAGCATACCCAGCCACATAGCTTTCCTCTCTCCCCACCTACCCCAATAGACTCTTCTTCCCCCTCCGACCTGCACTGAAGCTTGAAGATGCTTCTGTCCATCCTGGCTCAAGCTGCCTACTGCTGCTCTCCTGGTCTGCCCCAATTCGCTACTGGATGCTACACCCAACCCCCTCTGAAAGCTGGGCCTGGACCTGCAGGGTCCAAGTGGTTCATCAGTTGTGTGAGGGTCTCACAGAGCCAGCCCCAGGTTGGGGCTGGAGGAGGAAAGGAGGGACCCATTTGAAATGATCTAGCTAAGTGACCAAGGACACACAAAGGAGGCAGTGAGTGAGGGACCAAGACGTGAGTAACATTTAACCCTATGTAGGTGGCTTATTGGGCCTTTGTAGTGACAGTTTTAGCTCATAGGGTGGACCTGGCCAGCTTAGCCTTCAAGTGTTTTTGCATAACTCCAGTCTCCAGGAGAGGGCTGGAATAAATAGATCCCTGACTGGCAGGCAGAATGCAGAGGAAAAACTCATCAGCCTGTGATGCATAAGAACATAGGAACGGCCCTACTGAGTCAGACCAAAGGTCCATCTAGCCCAGTATCCTGTCTTCCGACAGTGGCCAATGCCAAGTGCCCCAGAGGGAATTAACAGAACAGGTAATGATCAAGTGACACCATCCCCTCCCATCCTGGCTAATAGCCATTGATGGACCTATCCTCCATGAACTTATCTAGTTCTTTTTTGAACCCTGTTATAGTCTTGGCCTTCACAACATCCTCTGGCAAGGAGTTCCCCAGGTTGACTGTGCATTGTGTGAAAAAATACTTCCTTTTGGTTGTTTTAAACCTGCTGCCTATTAATTTCATTTGGTGACCCCTAGTTCTTGTGTTATGAGAAGGAATAAATAACACTTCCTTATTTACTTTCTCCACACCTCAATCATATCCTCCCTTAGTCGTCTCTTTTCCAAGCTGAAAAGTCCCAGTCTTATTAATCTCTCCTCATACGGCAGCCATTCCATACCCTGAAATCATTTTTGTTGTCCTTTTGTGAACTTTTCCAATTCCAATATATCTTTTTTGAGATGGGGCAACCACATCTGCATGAAGTATTCAAGATATGGGCATATCATGGATTTATATGCAAGGGACCATTGGTGGGGTTCTAGCAGGAAGGCTGTGGCCCGCATGACATCGACTGCTGGTTGTTAAGGGGACTGTTTAGGGTGTGTGAGCCTGACGAGTGGGGATTCAGGGCCTGTCCTGGAGTTTCTCTCAGTTTGATAAAATCTGACATTCCCCTTTCCCCTCCCCATCCCTGTAAACCATCACAGGCTTAGGCAACCTGAAGGAGCTGCCGGTCAGCTGAGCCAGAGACACTCACAGCAGGGTGGCTGAGCTCGGGTGCCCCAGAGACCTCCCCACAGCCAGACGTCTCATGCTGCAGACCTGACCTCCTCCACCCAATGAGTCACCAGACATCCCGCAGAACCAAGGAATCATCTGGCATTTGCAGGCCAGACCAGCCTCCCAGTTAGTCCTCGCCCATCGCCATCCCATGTACCCCAACATGATTCCCCAGGAACGCTCTCCTGGCCATGCACTGCACTGTCTCCTCCTTCCCAAGACATGTAGCCCAGTTTCTTGCTTGGAAAAATCTGGTTGCCCTATTCCAGCTTGTTTCTGTGTCAAGTGCCAGTGCTTGCTAAAAAAGTGGGAGGGAAGGTTAAAGTCTCATCCATGCTGTGACTTAGAGACCCATCATCACCACCTGGGCACTTTCATAAGAGAGAGGCCGGCCCACTCCTTCCGAGGGAGGGGCAACGCCTGATCCCAGGGGTCTAGCTCACGGTTAGAGAGACTAGCTCTCTTCAGTCTCCTTCCATCAAGCAAAGGGTGTCCTGGTGATAAAACAGCCAGGACTTGCTCTTGTACCAGTTGGTAGCTTTATTCTTAGTCTCTTTCCAGGATATCTAAAAATATCTGAAAAGGAAGAGTGACTCCGGTAAAAAAGAGGCAGCCGAGGCAGCGGCAGGAATAGAAAGGCAGTGCACAGAAACGTTGTTTGCTCAAGTTCTCTGCTTAAAT